TAAGCGGTACTGACCAGCTGTACTGGCCAAGTGTGAACAAACATTGTCGATTTACGGGACCATTTCGATGAGTTAAGTTTTTGCAATTTCCTTTGATAAATTAAAAACTGACAGGTCATGTTAGGATATGGTTCACGACAATAATCGAATGGCGGGATTCGAACCCTCAACCGTAAGATCGATAGTCCATACCCCAAACCATTAAGCTTATTAAAATTGCTTCTAAAGTCATACTATTTACAGGGTCATGGCATGGATTACGGCGGTGGTAGCGGCGACTACGGCCAGCATTACGGGCCGCAGCAGCTGCTGCCGCGCCACCACGCTCACCACGACTCCCACACGCACCTCAGGCATCACAGGGACCATCATGATATACACTCGCATCACGTAAGTACTCACAGAACCTATACCAAAGATATTCAAATAAGTCATAGAGCGGACATTAAAAAAAATACTAAAAACAACTAAGTATACATCAGTAGAGAAGTTAAGTTCCACATCATGCGTATCTTTGTGCATATATTAATATGAAAACAGCATCAGTATATGTTTACATATAATAAAATTATTAACATCTAGCTTTCGCCAGTACCGCGCTGAATTAAGAAAAAAAATAGAATTAAGTAGCTTATGTATTCTTCTAGACTATCATCTATATCTATGTTAAATTTCATCGAGATTCGTTCAACCGTTTGGACGGCAAACTTTAACAAACATCCATCCATCTATCTAAACTTTTGCATTTATAACATTAGTAAGATAATTACGTTATCGTAATTACATTCTCGTTGTTAACTCTCCTACTTTCAGCGCGTTTCTTCACTTTCTACATTCTTACATCTTCAATATTTTCGAAATAATAAATGCGAAAGTTTGGATGGATGGATGTTTGTTAAAGTTGCCGTCTACGTTTAGAGCTGTGAGCCGTTGCTCAACGGATCTCGATGATATTTGGTATAGATGTAAATAGTGTGGAAGAACACATAAGCAACATTCTTTTGTTTTTGTTTTTTTTTTTCAATTTTCGAGGGGACAAAATCGCGGGCGAAAGTTAGTCTTTAATATTATCGAAATATAGAGGATAAATTTAATATCATAATTATTTGAATACATTGCGGAGGATCTTGGGAAGTATTCGAAGACCGTTGGGGCGCATTCTCTGGTCGAGGGGGACGGATAGTTGCAGAGTTTTGATTATAAATCACGTAACGTATAGACAGCCAGATACAAGATATTTTCATATTAATAAATGATTTTATATTTCTGGTACATTTACTTAGCTTTAAAGCATGAACATATATATTTTTTTTGTGACTGAATGGCCACTGTTTGTCTTGAGGAGGCATTTACAGATTCACCGGGCTTGAGGTGGCCGAACGCAGATGGCGCTTAGCCTAAACCTCGTTTATGAGTGACCTCCCTCAGGAGCCTCGGCACGGGCCGTTACTTCGTTATTATTACTGGATTGGGAGGCCACCGAGCTCTTAGATCGCTTCGGTGGACGCTCCTGTGAGCGACTAGGCACAAGGGCCCCTATAATCGACCGAAATGTTCATTATTTCAAAGAACTAAAGCATTTATAAAATGATCTGTTCAGAAAAGATAATTTTCTAATACTATTTCCGACTTTTGTATTGAATTGATATTTCTCATTTAACAAAGCCGTATCTGAAATCCACATTATTATAAGAAAACTATTATAACGACCATTCTTATATCAAGAAAAGGTTATGAGAAAAGAGCCCACTTTAGAAGATTAGCTTGCTTTAATGTTGGCAACGTTCCGGTTTCCGAACGACACAATGCGCTTTTGGCGGGAAACTGAATGTCATTTTGTGATCAAATGTCAAATGAAAATTACATTTATGATACTTTTATAAAAACCTATGGCTATATTTTTACTACTTTTAATTATATTACTTAAATAAATTAGATAAATACGAAACTTATATCCTGTGAATGTCGTAATTCAAAAAAATGTAGTTTTTATTTTCAGTCGCTCAAAATCTATGTCTACACTAAGACAGACTTGTTAAGTTATTATTAATTAGCTTAAAAATATGGAAACTCTTGTCTTACTTTTTTACTGAATAGGCAAAAGCGCACCGGAATGAGCCAAAATAGTCCATAGACAGCATTTGCAATTGCGACGCACAGAATTAAAATATTACCCCTACCAAGGTGTCCCTTTAAAGCCAAACTTTTTTATTAGCTTATTTATGGCAACATTTGTTCTATTTGTATAGTTATCACACGGTGGCTTTGGTTACGGCGGCGGTGAGCGACGGACAGACTACGGAGCGCGGGAACAACACGAACTGGCCTTACACCATGCGTTACATTCCACGGACGAAACGCAGGTAATTATAACACACTAGCTTCGCCCGCAACTCCGTGTGTGAGACGTTTACAAATATATCCTATTTTACTCAGTTATAACGTAGCTTTCTAATGGTGAAAGAATTGTTGAATTCGGTACAGTAGCTTTCGAGTTATTTCAATACATGAAATGATTAAAGGACAACGAATCCGTTTGCCATTGGGTAACAGTTACCGTTACAATAATAATCTTGCTTTTGCTATTGGCTTGTAGTTTTTGTTCCTTGTCTGCATGTCGATATTTTCAAATTTATTTACCCCTATATAATAGCGTGAAATCTTTTAAACTGGCCTGAATTGTAAAAAATAATTGTTCTAAAATAAACTGTGATTGCTGACATGGTAACTAAAATATGTTTACGCTTATACTAGTATAGATAGATATATAAAATACCACAATAATCTTCTCATACACGCCATCTTCCGCTTGCGCTGCTGCTTCCGTTGTCTTGGAAAGTTTGAATTTTTTCATCACTAGGAAGAAAATTCGGCCACAATTTTTCGGAACTTCTGCGCAAATGCGCAAACTAGAAATATTCAAATAAATTTGACTTGAGAGCAACATGTATCATCTGCAATTTCCAATTATATTGTCGTTTCATTTCTTTAATATCTTATAGATATTTTGTACACAATGTCGACGAAATATTTCAGTTACCCTCTATGGAATTTAATAATGTAAATTAAAATGGCCGATCGGACTCAAGTCTATAGAATATTTATGTTGCTTACATTCTTTGCTTATTAATATTAATACAATATATGTTAAAGTACCGTATGTTGGTATTTTATATTGTTTTTTTTTTCAGAACGCCGGCATGGATGATACGACGGGTTTCATGACGGATCTACCATTATTAAAAAGTTAGTAGAGATATTAGTTTGATAACAAAAATCTAATTTCAAACCTTTAGAGTGCGCACACTACTAAACTGTCGCAGAACTGTTTAGTCTCGCTTTTAATCCTATGAGCTTATATGGAGGTTGCATTACTCGATATTTAATTGTGCAAGTAAACAGTTGAATTGCAAAACAATCGACAATCGCACAACAGTTGTGCGATAGTTTGGTCAAAGGTAAACGCAGACAAAGAAAAGAAACTAAACAAGAATAACTATTTATTACTGTAATACATTCGTCATCTCCCCTGCCTTATCCTACTCCCGTAGGGCGCACCGGGTTTTCGTCCTCCAAAGTAGTCTTGTGCTTAATCGGACATCTGCAAGTGCGCACCGTACTAGTACAATTCGGAAAACGTACTAGTACACACTTTTAGTACCTTTAGTACTTCAGATTTTTGAAAACACAATACATGAATAGAATAAAACGGGGATTATATATTACTTCACATCAAATTTTAAGCAGGGTCAAACATATGTTATGAGCGAAAATAAATTTAGTTGTGAATAATTATATCCACTTTTGATTCTCATTATCGAAGGTGGATGCTTCAATCTGGCAAATATTGAATCAAATCAAACAACGAAGAGGCGAACACCGATATCGTGTAGTGTACTAAAAGTACTAAATGTCCGATTCACAGAAGCCGTTCGGTAACGTTACTTTTAGTACAGTGCCGAGTAACATTACTTTTTAGTACATCGTACATATACTACCCAAGACTACTCCAAAGCACTCTATCATCCGTCATCTGTCATCACTCCCTTCTTGATCATGTCACCTTTTACGCAATCCATCCATCTCTTTCTAGGTCTACCTCTACCGATGTACCCCTCCACATTCATAACTAACCTCCTTATATTACTGTAATACATTACTACTAGTATTAACAAAATATCATAAAACAAGCTATACTTATTTATTTATTTTTAAATTTAAGAATGAAATAAGATTTTCATATCACATCAACATTATAGATATCACACTATTATAAATACGAGTTTAGATGGATGGATGTTTGTTAGAGTTTGTAGCCTAAACGTCTGAAGAGATTTCACAAAATTCAGTATAGATGTAGAGGATAGTCTGGAAGAACACATAGGCTACTCACTTTTGTTTCTTTATTCCACGCAGATGAAGTCGCGGACAAAAGCTAGTATTTTATAATCGGACAGAATAGTTTTGATCAAATGAATAGGCACTTAACAAAAAATCCTTCATTAAAAGCTTACAGTAAATAAATAATTATTTTTGAACGGAAACTCGGTGCGGTGTCCGCAAAGAGAACACTCGAAAGTTTCTGTCGACTCATACAAAACGCGAGCTTCCAGTACTGATAGCAAAAAAGATATCAAATTAATAAATACATATCTGAACATATTTTTTTTATAATATAAGGTGGCAAACGAGCAAGCGGCCACCTGAATCCACCGAAA